CAAAACAATTTAAAGTTGACGAATGCATCTTCATCCAATGTAACACAATTTTAGAATCTGTCCAAGAAAAACCTTTGATTTCGATATCAACAACGCGGATTTGTCAAAGCCATTATGCCTTAAGAGAATATATATAACATCCGAATGCTCGTTGAAAAGCATCGGCAAATCCATGTACCTGACTGTAGCAAGCTGATGTTGTTAAAACATATCTTGGTATTTCAATATGGTTAAAATATTCCAAATTAGACTGAATTTATATCCATGATTGGTTAAGAATTGGAGGCAATGTATCATCACAACTCAGTTGATGAAACCATAATTCCTGTATCAAGATTTTACACCGTATAACAATAGGACTCAATTGTCCCAAAAGATCAAAAATTTGAGCAACAATTAATAAAATAGTAGGTTTGGTCGCAGCCTTTGACTCTTGTCGCTTATATTGAAAGCAAAAAACGTCATCTGGTGGTCTTCACGCCAAATATCATCTTCGTTTAAAAGAATTTGGTATTCGTCACTTGAGTTTACTCAATTTTTGTGGTTGGAGGTCCATTTTACCAATTGTAATCCTGCGTTTGCTGCTATCTTAGTCACCTGTGATACTTTGATTCAAAGCTCTTCAATTGTGTCTGCTCCTGTTAGCAAGTCATCAACATACAAATCATTGCACAAAACTGAAGCTTTAATTGGCATATTCTTCTGATGCGCATTTGCAAGGTAAGTCAGACTTCTGATGGCCAAAAATGGTGCTGGCGACATTTCGTAAGTTACTGTGTTGAGCTGAAAAAGTTGCAGAGGTTTATTAGCAGTGTTTCTCTAAATAACTAATTGAAAATTACGATCTCTTGGATCAACTACAAACTGTCGATACATTTTTGAAATATCCGCATACCGATGTAAACGAAATGTCAATAATGTCAAAATAAGATCCTGCTGAATTGTAGGTCCCACCATTAAGATTCCATTAAGTGATGGACCTGACGATGTGCGTGCAGATGCATCAAATACGACGCGTGATTTTGTTGTGGTACTTTGAGGCCGCAATATGCAATGATGAGGTATTATATAGAGCGGTGTGATACTGTTAAAGTTGTCGATACGACTCATGTGACCTAACATCAAATATTCTTGCATGAACTTAACATAGTCCTCTTTGAGAAGCTGCTGATGCTCTAATCGACACTCAAGTTCTCTCTGTATTTACTATCAAGGAATCTGCATTTTGCCATTTCAAATAATTCACTTAATACTTCTGGAGACTCTTTAAATGGTAATCGAACTTGTATTTGACCATTTCTCATAATTGTGGTATTTTTTACAAAATGTTTCTCACAATCCAACTCCTCCTTAGAGTAATTAATTTTGCGATTGCTTTATAATTCTTCAATTTTAAAAAATCTTTGTACCATTGAATCGATAGAAGACGATAGAATGTAGTTACAAGTGTGTGCCCGAGCAGTAGGCGTATTTTTATATTGTCCTTCGATTATCCACCCTAATTCGGTATTTAATTAACATGGAAGGCGGGTGACTAACGAAATTTTTCCATCTAATATTAATTCAAAAATCCTTACGTACTTATTAATAAGCCAATATGTTGTGGTTTAAAAAATAATTAATCAGCTAAAACAAGGCTTTCAGGAAAATTCCACGATGTTGTGTTTATCAACTGCTTTGGTTGCTCAATGAGATACGTTTAGTGACAGCGAATTGCGATGACTATTCAAATTTTGATATTCGAGATTTTATAGTTGCAGTTATTGAATGGCGAATTTGTGTTCTAACATCACCAATGCTTAACATTTTCTGACTTATTCGCTCAAATGGTAATTGAAGTTGAGTCCAGTATTCTATAGGTTGGTATAACCCGTATTTATGCTTAATAAGTACTACAGCTGTGGGAATCAATGATCGTTGTTTAGTACGCGATACTAGAGAAATTTATAGAGATTGCAGAAAATTTAATTGTCCAGGTGAACCGTCAGACAAATTTGGCTCACATTTTGCTCCACGGGTTTGAATTTATGCAAACATGTATAATGCATGCCATTGCATATTCGACAGCGAACTGTGGGTTGACAATTTTTAATGACGTGCCCCTTGCGTAGACAGTTTAAACAAACGGAAAGATCTTTTACGAATTTAAATTTGTCGTTAAAGGTACTTGTTAAAAACAATGGACATGATCCTAGGCTTTGGTTTCCTATATTACACTTCATGGTGTTAACAAATGTGGTCAATCTTCTGTTAAAAGAATTATTTTTGGTATCATTATCAAAAGAGAAATCAACAAAAAGAAAAACACGCGCGAAAAATGATCGCTCCGGAACTTCTATTGTTTTTAATCCGAAAAGCTAAATTTCAAATTTCAAAGTTATAAACACTTGATCCATTGATCATAAATAAAAAAAAAATTATCAAAACGGTGCCCGATTTTAAAAGGTGATGTTCAGTTTTGTGAATTTAAAAATTTTTTATTCTAAAAAATTAAACTTTAATTTGCAAATTAAACAAAGGCAAAAAAACAAAAATAAAATTTGTTTGCTCAACAGCTGATAGAGACAGCATATGCTTTTCTTAAAGAAAGTAAGAAATTGCAAATGTGGCGTTGCCTCAATGTAACTTATAAGTACCTTTAAAAACTTAAATAAAAATAAATTTTTATTTATTTATAAACCTAAAAATTTTAAATAACTAAATAAACGAACTGTAAATATATTGTGACACTCTTATATTTTGTTCAATTCTTTCAATTATTTATAACTGTTTTCGTAATTTTGGTGTACTTCGTGAAAACTGTGCGCTACAGGATAACTACAACACTTAAACAACCAGACATTTTTCAAATCGGTGATCGACATAAACTTTATTTTAGGCTTTGAACTATGATCAGCGAATAGCTCAGTCTAAAAGGATACAAGATGCCATGAGGAATATTCCATCCCCTTTGTACGATTTGAGTCTAATAATTTATAATACGCGCACGGGCGATTTTGAATAATTACAGAATAAAAGAGACAACGAAATTTAAAGTGTGACTACTTCGTTTGGCGATCCAAGAAGTACTGCTTTATTTTAATTAAAAATGCGCGAAGGCTCGTGCTTGGCAGGGTTGCCATGTGATACATAATTTACATAAAATGAAAACACATATTTGGTTTATGCTATATTCTCAACATTCCGGGGACCTTAAAAGGATCGCCTTTCATGAGTCAAGGAGCGACGCCAACTTATGTATCGACGTAGAACTCCACTCGGAGTTTTAATATCCACGACTCTGATACATCTGTCCGATCCAACGTGAGTTGCTACTACTCGATCGGTCACCCACTTATGTGGTGGCAGGTTATCCACGTGAACGATGACTAAGTCATCCAGTTTAATATTACATTTGATACTTGTCCAGCGATGACGTTGAATAAGTTCGCATAGATATTCATTGGACCATTTGCACCAAAATTGCTGTTTGACAGCTGCGATACGTTTCCAACGCTGTAAATGAGTGAGATAATGATTGTCAACGATTGGCTCCGGTAATGAGTTAATTGGTGCTCCTATCAAGAAATGACCTGGTGTCAGCGCTTCTAGGTCGTTTGGATCGTTAGAGAGAGGCGAAATAGAACGTGAGTTCATAACAGCTTCGATCTCAATTAATGCTGTCATCAATTCTTCAATAGTCATCTTGGCATTTGCCAGTGAACGAAATAAATATCCCTTGGCGCTTTTAACTGCTGCCTCCCAAAGACCACCAAAATGCGGAGACCTAGGTGGAATAAAGTTAAATTTTATGAAGTGATTCGCACAAAATTTTTCTGCGGTATTTTTAAATGCTGCGCTTGTGATCAATTGTTTGAACTCGTTTAATCTGGAGTTTGCTCCAACAAAGTTTGTCACATTGTCGCAGAAAATATTTGATGGAATACCACGGCGACCAATTAATCGTTTTAGTGCTGCGATGAATGCGTCAGTGGACAAATCAGATACTGTTTCGATATGCTCTAATAGACGCATCGCAAAACCCATGTAATTCAATGTTGTTTGAATTTGGACGTAGCACGTATCTGGGTACGCGTACCTTGTATAAATTATTGAGGTCATTAAGTAAATGCATAATCGATTCCTTTGTAGCTTTAGGTAGTTCTGTATCCCAATCGATTTTTTGTATCCACAGATCCTGCAACAAGACTCTTGGTTGTACAACTATTGGACAAACTAATCCTATTATATCGAAAATTGCGATACTAGCGATAAAATTGCACGCTTTGTAATAGTTATATATTGTTTTCTTGGTTGGAATGAAAATAAAATTAAATCTTGACCAGGATTCCATGTGATGCCTAAGGCGCTAGTAGTTGTTTGATCGCTTAATTTGCTGTGTTGAATGCAGAGTGATTACATTTGAATTTTGCTAGTTCAAATCCACCCTTCTTAAGAACTGCCGTCGTTTCATAAAGAATTTGTTTGAGATCGACTTCATTGTCGGCTCCATAGAGAATATCATCAACCTGGAACTGAGGTTTAATAGCTTTAGCTCCTTTGGAATAAGTCTGTTGATATTGATCTGCTAAATGGTGTAAACTTCGAATGGCTAGAAATGATGACGCTAACATTCCGTAAGTAATGGTATTCAGCTGATAGATATGCACTGGATCTTTGTTACTTGTTCTCCATAGGATTTGTTGAAATTGGCGATGTTTAGGATGAATCAATACCATTCTATACATTTTAACAATATCTGCTGTGAATACAAATCGATAAAAACGGAAACGCAGGAGTAGCACAAATAGCTCGTCTTGTATAGTTGGACCGACAAGTAAAATGTCATTTAGAGATTTGCCAGACGTAGTCTTTGCTGAAGCATCGAAAACGACTCTCAATTTGGTGCTTGTACTGTTCGGTCGCAAAACACTTTGATGTGGTATAAAATAATGCGGATACCCAAAGTTTGTATTTTAAATTTTTGTCATATGGCCTAATTCCTCGTATTCTTCGAGAAATTACGTGTAGAGTGCTTTTACTGTTGGATTGCGATCCAGACGTTTCTCTAGCGACAAGAACCGTCGCAAAGCCAACTCATATGACTGACCTAGAACAGAAGGATTGTCTTTAAACGGCAATTTTACCTGCAATCGTCCATCAGGTAGAGTCTCAATTGTTGATACGAACGACTGCTCACACATTCGATCTTCTGGACTTAAGGCAGGCTTTGTTAGTTTCATATCTTCGAGTTGCAAATTAAGATCTTCGTCTGAAGTATTATCAAATTGAATTACGAAAGAGCGATTCTGAAAGTTTTGAATACAGCTTGTTGTTTTGTAGCGACCAGACACTACCCGACCAAAGGATGTGTCTTGAAGTTTAGGTAAATAAAGGCCAAGCTTCAGTTGATGTGGCTTTAGAATTTCAAAAAAATTCTCGGCGCCTAATAGAACATCTATTCCTTGCGTTTGTTGAAAGTTTTCATCGGCTAAATTTATCGAAGACGGTATATTCCAATTGGACACGTCAATATCTATTTCGGGTTGATATCCGGAAACGCGATTGGTGATGAGAAGATTTACAGCGAATTCTTCGTCATTATAACGAGAGCGAACTATTGTAGAAGTTTCGAATTTAATTTTGGATGATGATCCTCCGGTCCCAACTATATTTGTAACTTTTCTTTGTCTAGAAAGATTGAGAATTTTAGCAAGGCTTTCTGTAACTAAATTTACCTGCGAACAGGAATCCAGAAGTGCGCGACAAATTTTCCATTGTCCAGTACCATCTCGTATTAGAACCACAGCGGTTGCTAAGAATTCTGTGTCTGACGACATATGAGCGTTAATGTTAGATGTGGACACGAACTCTCGTATCGCTGGTGGTACTTCCTTTGGTGGTGAAGTAACAACCGTCTGTTTTGATGTAGGTGCTGTTGCTTCAGCGTCTTCACTATTTTCATTCGCTTTATGCAGCAATGTATGATGCGATTTTTTACATATTTTACACCGATTTTTTGAACTACATTTTGACACAGTGTGACCTTCAGATAGACAATTTAAACATAGATTCAACCGCTTCACTGTATTAAACCGAATGAGCGGTGTCATAATCTTTAACGAATTGCATCCACTTAACCAATGATGATCATAGCACTTACACAGCGAGCATGCCTTGCCTTGTATATGAAACGATGACCGTGTACTTACTCGTGTGACGCTGCCCTTGTTGCTGTTACGGTTTACGCTTTTACACGAGTCTGATGATTCTAAAAATTAGCAACGCCTCTCTAATACCTTACAAAAGTCGTTCCAAGTTGGTAAACAAGTTAAGTTCATGTTTTCTTGCCATTTCAACATTGTTTCGGCGTCAACTTTTTTAGTGATCAAGTGGATCAGGAGAGCATTGCAGATGTCATCTGTGCTGCCAAGCGAACGAAGAGAACTATAAATTGCAGATGCATTGTCTACCAAATTACGTAAATGTATTGCTGACGGATTGTGCACTTCTTGTATGTCGCACAAGTTGGCAATATGTTCAAGAAAGATTAACGTTGAATTGCCATACCGTTCTTCCAGTCGTTGTATCGTAAGAAAGTGGATATGAAACTTTTATATTCCGAGTATTGTCCTCTGAATTTAGGTAAGTTTAAACTTGGTCATTTACTGCTGCGAGGGGCTTGTACAGAAAACGAGGAATTTCCATTGGGACTTTTGTAATTATCTCCCAACATCTCGATTATTTTGGCCTTTGTACTAATGCATAGCTCCTCTATTTCTGATCTTCCATTGTCGTATTCATTTACCTTTTCGATTTCAGTTTGAATTAATAAAGCTTGCTTAAAATAGGCTTCGATTAGCGACAGTCTACATTCCAATTCGACTTTGGGTAAAGTTGCTTTGATTATTTTGTTGATACGAGTCATTGCACTCTTTACAGTTTTTCGCTGTTTCATGAGCGCTTCTAATTCACTCATGTTTTTTTTTTTTAATTATCGAAAAGGAGAATTTTGACAGCACAAACTACAGCAGGCAAGCAGCGAAACAAAACCTCGCGAATAACAGCAGGAAGCGTGGCGCAAATTCTAGCGAGACAGCAAACAAACGAAGCATCGCAAATAACAGCAAAACAACGCAGCACCAAATGCAGTGCAAAAGTAGCGAAAATGTAGCTTCGCCAATAACGGGATATTTTTGACTCGCAAAAGAGAACCAAAAATTGTAACGGATGCTAGACTACGATACAACAATTTATGCGTCTTTTTTAATAAAGAAAATATAAATATTAGAAGGGTTTTCGAATAACAAAGAAAGAAATAAAGGACAAACACAAAAATTTATTTTTAATTTTATTGAAATTTGGCTGACCATACAACGCTGTTTCGAGTATTGCCAAGTACTCTTCATCAGTGGTCTTTGGGAATAATCGAATTTTATTTAATTAGTTTATAGTCCGTATATAATTTGTTTGGACTGCAAGTGCCAGGCTTAGAACTCGTGTGTCAAATTAGAAGCGATGACTAATCGTGTTTATCCACAAGAAGCCAAGGCTGCACAAACTTTCAATGCTCAAGTTCCAGGTTTTATTGTCACTTATTTTATTTAATTAGTGACAACAACCAAAGCACTTGCCGTGCTTTAAATTAGAACGAGCTTATAAACTACAGCTTTATATTTGGAAACACAAATTCAACGAATTGAAAGTTAAACTTTTTGGGTTTTTGCCTATTCTTTATTTCTTTTCAAAGCTACTCTTTTTGTAGAGACATTTTGTAATGCATATTGTTTTACTTACTATATGTAAAGCGACCATTCCGGTGCTTTTTACAAAAAAGCTATGCTATGTTATTCTACAATGCCGCTTTTTGCGGTTAGGAAAAGGGTTTTAGTTGTCCAAAAAGCAAACAAGATGAAGAAGCCAAGATTTGCTCGAACTGCAAAGGCAATCACACAGCCAACTATCGCGTCTGCCCTGTTTTTCTTGCTTTAAAGAATAAAATGGCCGTAGCCAAACATAAACAAATCCCTAATATTAACCTCTCACCTGAGCAATTTCCTCATTTAAATAATAATATCTACACGACCCCAATTGAGTTTTCTCAAACATCGTATGGTAATACTCTGAGGGAATTTCCAGATCAGATAAATAAAAACATTGACACACAATCAGCGCCAATGTAGCCTACGTGTACTTCTTTTATACAAAAGATGGATAAGCTTTTGGAATGGATGCAAAGTATGAGGAAGAGGAAGACAACTTTATGCAGCTCTTAACAAGGGACTCGAAGTCATATCATCTGGAAATCCCACTTATTGGCCGACCGATACCAGTAAAACTCCTGATTTAATCGATTTTGGTGTCATTAAGGGTTTGAATAAGGATTATATCTCTGCTGACCCGTCGTATGATTTGTCTTCTGACCATTTTCCGGTGATCTTAACACTGACAAATATTTCCGAAGGTCAACACTATAATATTAAAACATTTGTCAACTGGCGTAATTTTGGTAGAGAAGTTGAAAGAAGTCTTCCAGAAATTTGTGCACCCCGTCACACCGATGAAATTGAGCACGCTGTGGATATATTTAACAAAACTCTAATTGACGCGGCTGCTGAGTCTACTATTGTCCAACAGGACCATGCAAAAAGAACAATTTTTCCATCGACCTTGAATGGGCTTATCTCTGCTAAACGTAATACGAGACGAGATTGGCAAAGATGCCGTTCTCCCAGATCTAAACACAGCCTCTATGTAGCGACTAAAGCTCTCAAAAAAAAAGCCCTTGATGAGGAAAGAAACAATTCAATACAAAATTATTTAGAAAGCCTTGGCTCTCAAAAAGAGCATAACTATTCCCTATGGAAGGCTGCAAAGAAATGTAAAGTCCCAATTAAAAGAGAACATCCTATACGCAAACAAGATGGCTCTTGGGCTCGTAGCGATGAAGAAAAAGGAACTACTTTGGCATTACACCTACAGAATGTTTTTCAGCCAAATCCCCAAATCAATGACTTCCAGCCTAACATATCTATCTTAGCTGACATACAAAACCCTCCAATTATAGAGCTTTCGGAATTGAAAGAAGTTATAAATAACATTAACCCAAAAAAATCACCTGGACAAGACCAAATAAATGGAAAAATGATTAAAAACTTGCCGAACTCAGCGATCGTCTTAGGTTAGGTTAGGTTCGGAAGGCGCGTGCTGCCAATTGTCAGCACTTCCACTCGGAGGCATATTTTGCCCATTGTGATGCCCTCAAAAAATATTGCCGGGAGAGGCAAGTTGCTAACCTTTGTGATCCTTGTTAAACCATTTGGATTTTCAGATGAAGTTGAGGAGATCCTAAGTTTACTTTCGTTATCTCGTCCAAGCCAGTGAAAAAGCGACCTCCAAGACATTAAAGTCGCCTTGTTTGAAGTCCTGGACAGAGACAGAGGAAGTACAGACAGATCCGCTCCGGTGTCGATAAGAAATGCGGTTGACGTCGACGGATCTCGTATTGTCAGTCGAGCTATAGTTACGTTGCCCCCCAATCGGCTCGACGTCGATTGCGGCATGCTTAGTTTTTTGACTTTGCATTAGATGTATACGTGCATGGCTAACGACATCTGCGTGCTTGCTCCCCGAAGCTACTATGAAACCAGCACCAACCGGAATGGTTTGAGGACTGCGATCGCGTTCGGCTCTTTCTGCATGAGGGCTGTTGCGTTCTCGATGGCTGACGTCCACCAAAATCCAATCTGCTTAACCGCTGCTCAATTTGATCCAAACGCTGGCACAACATGGCTGTCTCGTTCGAAACGCTGCTTCCACTAGATGACGCTGCAGCTATTTGATGATAATCGCCCGCTTCACAAATTCTATTGGCCAGTTTAGCTAATTCTACCAGGTCAACACTTGATGTTTGTAAAATGGCACGTACCTGCGGAGGTAGACGTTGGAGCCAAAGTGACTTCAGGAATTCGTTACTAACTTTATCCTTCGCTAGTCAGCTCATTCAACAACTGCGATGGTCGACGATCTCCTAATTCGATCTCAGAAAGGAGCCTCTGGATCTTGCGTTGCTCACTTTCACCAAACCGCTCTATTATCTGGTTCTTCAAGTAACTGTATTTACCAGTTGCAGGCGGGTGTAAAACAGCATCGGCTACATCAGCAATGACACTGGACTCGATCGCTGCGACGACAGTGTTGAATTTCGTAACGTCTGCGCCTCGATTTGCGCGAAATTTATGGTCATTCGTGCTAAAATGGCGGTACCTTGACGGACACGCGACTCAGATTAACTTCTGATAACTCACTCTCTCGCTGCACCGCTGCGGCTTCGTTAACCGTCGACAAAGACATGCTGCTTGAAAATGTTACTTGCAAAAATATTGTTCAACTAATTTTGGTGAACGTAACCGTTTGTTCTGATCACGTCGGAGTCACCACTTTAGCAAAGGACTCCACACTTTGCTAATAAATAAAATACAAATATTTAATCACAACAAAAAACTTTATTTAAGAACGAAATTGGAAACGTTTTCCTTAAAACAAATTAATAAAAACTGAATATATTTTACATTGAATTTTACATTTAAATTTCAAATAATTCACAGTCTACTGCGTCGCCACACCACAAATATCAAAAATTTTCGAAAAACTCCTAATTAAAAAAATACTGATTTCCTCGCCGATAGAAAACATAATCCCGGACCATCAATTTGGTTTTCGCAAAGAGCATGGAACAATTGAACAGGTCCTTAGAATAGCTAACGAAATACACTTAGCTTTACATTCAAAACAATATTGTACGGCAGTTTTTCTTGATGTAGCGCAGGCATTTGATAAAGTGTGGCTTGAAGGACTTTTATTTAAAATAACGCTTTCGCATCCAAAAAATTTTCATAAACTTCTAAAATCCTACGTGAGTCATCGAAAATATAGGATCAGACACAAATCGTTCACTTCGCAAGAGTACGATATCAACGCTGGAGTTCCTCAGGGTAGCGTCCTTGGGCCGCTTCTATACTTAATTTATACAGCTGATATTCTACAATACCCAAACAATTTACTGACGACGTTCGCCGACGACACTGCCATAGTTAGTTCCGACCGTTTGATT